GAATACCTTAAAACTATGGCATTGATAACTCAGAAAGTTGCAATAGAAACTTTCTGGTGCACGAAAGTTCTGGTCAGAAAGAATTCAAGTGGCCAGGAAAGTCTTTCTGAGTCTGGAACAACTTTGTATGAGTAACTTTTCTGCTCATCAATGAAAAAAAAAAAAAAACCCCAGATAATTTGAAATAGAGCAAACAGCACAGATGTGCTATGATGCATCATGTTTCAGAAACATTATTTAGGCAAAGACCTGACAGTTCCTTGTGGAAGTAGAACAGACGATTGGAATTGGAAATTGGATAGAGTAATATTAATTCTACTTGCCAAACTGTGTTTGAGGATTTTACCATATTCCAGTTGTCTGTGGACATGGTTGATCTTTCGCTATTTGTGTTTATTACTATAGATCACAAAATCTAGCACGGGGATTTGGTTCCTTTAGGTGTTCAAAAAATACTTAAGTTGATTGAGTGGTTGAATAAATGAACAAATAAAGAGATGAATCAAAGTGCTTGGTAAAATTTAAAGTGCTTTCCAAACACAATATAACACGAGTAGATGTGTAATAGGTAATATCTTATACCTCATAATATTTGCTTAAAAAACTTTAGGGCAAAAAAGTTCAGATAGTTTAATAAGCAAATAAAAACTGCGGTTATATATACGGTAAGAAAATCTGCTATGAAGAGTACTTGTTTTCAGGTACATTTGAGAAGAAATGAAATAAAGGCAGAAAAATTATAAATGGCAAAAGAGAAATAGTATCGTTAACTTAGATGGCCACAGTGGTGGCACGGAACGTGAAAAACCAAATAAAGACCCTGTAACAGCCAGAATTTATAACTGGTTGTTATAAAAATGGCATCATTCTTAGGACAGCATCATAGAGCAAGATTGGTCCACTGTTCCATATTATAGAACAGAGCAGATAGTCAATATAGCAAATAAAGCTGGCTTTTAGATGGACCATGCCTTCTGAGCTTCTTGGTTGGCTGACACAGGGGGGCAGGCAAGGAGAATTGGAACAAAAATAACCCAACAGGAATTTCAAGTTCAAGACTCTGTTCTGACACTGGGAAAATTACTTTATCTCTCTAGGCTTCAATTTTCTGATCTGTGACACGAAGACGTTGAATTAGATGACCTCCCAGGATTCTAGTATATGGATGCTGAAGCCAAAAGGTGGGAGGAAAAAAGAAAGCAAGAGCGATCTTTTGGAATTAGTAAAGCACACCATAATAAAACATCTGAGAAATGCCTGAAAGAATACAAAACAAAATAACATTTCACAGGAGGAAGAAACCATAAACATGGGACCTGTTTTTCAGTTAGGCTTATTTAAATATTCACTTCTTATCATGGAATGAAAGCGTCTTGAACCAAAGCGTGGCTTCTAACAAAACTTTTCTCAAATGGACAACAGACCCTAGGGGCATCACCGAATTCATACTCTTTCAGAATGAGGAAATAAGAATTGTTTTTGCCCCAAACTTAACAAATTATACTAAGAATATATACTAGCTGCATATTAGCATAATTTCATTTAAAATAATTAATATTCCTTTTATATAATCTGCATTTGCAAATTTTTATGTTTAGAATTAAGTTCCACATAGTTACATTTTAATTGTGATAGCCCCTTACATTTGTGTCACAGGGATAAAGTAAATATTTGAAGTTATTTGTGTTTGGGGTATTTCTTTCTAAAGAGAAGTCTGCTGGGCCGCTCCTAGGCTTCCCTTTGCTGCGAAGAATAAACTGAGAAATCAGAAGGAACTAGAGTGGCTAAGTGACTCTACATAATAAAGAACTAAGCCAGTTGAAGGATGCACATAGGGAGAGTCACGCAGAGGAAATATTGAGAAAATATTACGATGGGAGAGAAGGAATTTAAGTCATTTTGCTGGGTGCTTTGAATGTATTCTCCTTTGGCATTTTCTCAAGAAGTGTATCGATCTGATTGTCTCTGAGTGCTCTGTGGATGGATGGACTTTTCTTCCTCTAAATGCAAATGCTGGTTCTAGACCAACGGCTGTGCATTATTTGGATTACAATGACGTAAGGTTTTAAAAGTCTGTACATCTATACATTTAGTCAATCTGCATAATAATCATCTTGCAAGGAAGACAGGACAAAAATATTTTTATTTTTCCAAATTGAGACTCATTGAGGTAAAAGTGATTTTCCCAAAATAACATCGTGGAGACTCAAAGCTGGGTCAGCTGGTATTTTTTTCACTACCTCAGGATGCCTGCTTGCAATCGAAATGCTTAGATATGGCCAAGAACTACGAAATCTCTTTTCCCTCCTCCTCTTTTTTCTTCAAGGAAGGGGAATTGAAAGGAAAGAACTCTACAGCACTGGGTAATAAGAATTTTCTGTGATAATAGGAATGTTCTGCGTTGTCTAATATGGCAGCCACAGCCACATGTGGCTACTGAGCACCTGAATGTGGCTAGTGTGACTAAATTTTTATTTAATGTTAATTATTTAAGTAGCCAGATCTGGCTAGTGGATATAATATTGGAAAGCATAGCTCTAGAAGCTACATGTGACAGATTAGCAAATGTTCTAGGTATCTCAAACTAAAATGATAATTGGGGTAAATTGTATGTTATCATTTATCTTTAGTTTTCTATTTGCTTGAAGTCCAAACCCTTCATAAACCAACCAACATTGTGGTCACTGCTATCTGGTTGCCTTAAGATATTTTTCTTGTCTTTTAATACTTTAATTTAATGATTATTACTTTTACAAATAATTAAGATGAAATAACCAACTTCCTCTGTAGCACCATTTACTTGATTTCTCCAGAAGTTTGTATGTGTTCCTTTGCTCTTCATAATTTTTAAAATTGTTATTGTTATTCTTTATTATGTCCATCGTATATTAAGTAACGTACCGGTGTGACCTTTATATTAAAGGTGAGTCCTTTAATATATGTAAAGTTCAAAGCATCAGCAACTATTTTGAATTTCCAGAAACTCTGTGTGTCTCCTCTTCCTTTGTAGTATAATGGGCACCAAGAACAAAACAGATATATAAAATAGAATGAAAGTTTCATGAAAAAAAGATTGGGCCAGCCTTCCCCCTTACCACTAAAAGATCCATATACACAGTAATGTCTCGCCACCTCTAACTCCCAATTCTGTTAGGAAGTTTTCCCACACTCCATCAGCCTTTTTACTTCCAAAAAGTTGTCCCTATTACTTGGTGCTTTAGTTCACTGAACAATTCAGAGAGTTTTATGCTTTTCTACAAATTGCCAATTCTTTTGAATCAGCAAGAGAAGATGGGAGGATATGAAGATCATATTACTATTTCAAAGAATTGTGTATAAGGAGTTGGTTATAGACACAGGATTTATATATAACTGTCAACCCACGGCTATCAGAAGCCACACCCACCACAAAAGCTAGTGAAAGAAGAGTCATCTTATCCTAAAAGGAATCGTCTATGTGTCCCTTATGTCTTTGTAGAATACCAGTTGCACCAGTTACATTGGCAAGTCACTTGGTTATCGCTATCTGATCAAACCTACTCCACAAGAAACAAGTTGGGATATTTCATATAAACTGAATGAAGCTACAGCAGAGAGATTGTCATCACATCCTTCAATCACCTTGCTTGTCAATTATTAACTAAGTAGGTTAGGAAAAAAATTACTACCCTCATCAGGTACTTAAAAATGTAAAGCATAATATATGTGATGGAAAATGGCACTAGTTTACATTGGACATTTATGAAGATAAATACGATACTCTGTTAGTAGACTGATGTCATTCAATGTAGACAATGTGTACAGATGCTATGCTGTTTGTAAAGTGCTGTTTAAGAGATCTCTGCTGCTTGCTACCCGAATCTGCAAATGGTAAACACTGTAGCCTACGAGAACCAACAGCTTCTTGGCACAGGATGTGAGTTTCATGGGTCGAGATGTTGATGAAATTGTACACACAGTACCTGAATTTTAAACTTTAGGAGCTCAGTATATATATTAACCACTTTCCTCTTTGAAGGGATGACTTTTCTTTCTTGGTTCAGGGGGAAATTTCGAAACCTGGATTGTGATTACAGGGCAAATGACAGCTCCCCTGAGGAGCTTCTGACATCGGCTTTATTCAGCCAGGGAGGGGAGGGGGGTTGGCATGAATGAAAGGGTGGCTCAAATAGGCAGGAAAATGATTGGCGCTGCAGCTAATTGAACCACCTTTGCTAAGTGACATAAAAATATTCTAATATTAAGGATTATTTTACAACTCTATGGAAGTATGCAGTAATGCACCTTGCATTTGCTGTCTTGATGACCAAATGCACTCTTAAGAGTCACAAGAGCCTGCCTTGTGTTAGTTATAAAAATATATAT